TCCATAATAACGACTTAAGTAATAATAATAATAATAGCAAACACTTATATAGAGCTTATCTGTGTCTTTCACTATTCTACGTGTTGTATATATTAACTGATTTAATCCACACAACAACCCAATGAGGTAGGTACTACTGTTATCCCCATTTTACAGATGGGGAAAAAAGGCACAAGCTCTGCATGCTTAACCACTACATAGTATTACCTCTTTATTATGGGATGTTGAAGGTCCACACAGCAAAAGGGACTTCATGAGCAATATCAGGAAGTACCCTGGATTAAATGTGAAACAGTAAAGCTCAGGGACAGCATTTCCTAAATAGTTTAAATTGTCCTTCCTGAAAATTTTCCAAGCTTTGAACTTCAGTAGGACCATCAGTCTTTTATGTTAAATAAATTGAAGTGTCATAAGGTGGCTTCTTCTGAAATTGCGTATTGTTCTAGTTCATATAGTATTAAATGTTCTGTAATATTTTCATCACTGAATGACAGCAAGGCAGCAGAAGTGCAGGCTCTCCTGCTGATTTGGGCCTGTCACTTTCACAATACATTATCTTTTATCTGTCAATAGTAAATTGTTCACATATTTCCTTGGGATGGGGTGGGGAAGGTAGCAAAATAAAATAATCTGGGCCATGGAAACTTAAAACTAAGTATGTAATTTCAATTGTGAATAATGGTAATTTAGGGGAAAGTCCTGATGAAACGCTGTGTGTTTTTTGATAGCTGAACAATATTCCATGAGTAAAGGCCTTCTAGGGGAAAGCAAATCTATTCATTAAAAAAAGTACACTTACATGTGTAATGCTATACCAAATGCTTTCACATATCCTATTTTGTTTTATACTCCAACAAGCTTAGTGGGTACTTAAAGTCATTATTCTCACTGAAGAGTTTCACATAACTGTGACCCATTGAGATTAAGAGGCTCACTCAAGGGCACCCAGTTCCTGTCTTCTTTCCACAAATACACACAGTTCTGTCCCTTCTTACCACCTCATTCAAATATTTATATAACAGATAGGCACTTCACTGAAGAAAAAGGGGAAGAACAAATTTCCAGCCTCTTACTACAACAGCTAATTGTCCTGGCATGGATTCACTCCCCTCCTGTCTATTTGGACACCATTGACTGGTAGTATATGCCAAAAACATGTCAAAGATATCACATGTCCAAATGTTGTACAAGGGAGTCTGGAGCAATAATTTTTCACATTAGGTCTGTGACCCCCTCAATACAGAATCAACTCTGTTCTTCTAGACCTAGTGGGCCTTCCCCACCTTATCTACCTACAAGTGGCAAGAGTTACACAGAGCACTGTTCAGAGAGTGAAATCATTTGGATGTGCATCCCCTACAAATCTCATGTTTAAACGTGACCTCCAATGTCAGAGGTAGGCCTAGTGGGAGGTATTTGGGTCATGGGGGCAGATGCCCCATGACTGTCTTGGTGCCATCCCCAGGGCAATGAGTGAGTTCTCACTCTATGAGTTCACATGAGATCTAGTTGTTTAAAAGAGTTTAGTACCTCCTCCCTCTTTTTCTCCCTCTCACCATGTGATAAGGCAGCTTTCCCTTTGCCTTCCACCATGATTGTAAACTTCCTGAGGCCTTGCCAGAAGCAAATGCTAATGCTACACTTGTTGTACAGCCTACAGAACCATGAGCTAAATAAACCTCTTTTCTGTATAAATTTCCCAGTCTCAGGCATTCCTTTATAGCAATGCAAAAAGGACCAACACCAAGAAATAGAAAGAATATGGATCTACTAGTCCTAACAGAATCCACAGCAAATACTGAACAACAACCACTCCTCTCCATGACTTTGATTCACATGCTACTCAATGCAAGTGGCTCCACTGTTCTTCCTTGCACTTTGCAGGTCCTCAGGAGAGGCTGATCTATCTAGCTGATACTTTCTCCTACTTTCAGGAGTCAAATGGTCTAAAGTAGCTCAAGCAGAACTGATGTACCTGAGAGGTGCTCATTCTTCTCAGACATCAGAACAGTTAATACTTTATTTTGCATAAATGAAAATATGATATGCCTGAATTTGCAAATCATCAAGTAGTTTCTACACTAAAGCAGGGTATATGCATGGGTACATACCAACTTAGTACATATAAATGCTATCTGTATGCATATACAGAAATTTCAGAGTACAATTTAAAAGCTGTTCATGAACTGTTAAGATTCAAATAACCAGAGACTACATTTGAAATTCTCCCTTGCAGAATTTATACAGGAATGCAGAAAGAACTTCACCCTTGTTCAGTAAAAAGACAACTCTGACTGCCTGACTTATGGGCAATACATTTTTTATTCTTGTGCACTTTAATTTTACCAAAGCAAAATGCAAAACCCCCTTCCCCAAGATACCTAAATGGCTTTCTCTCAGATTTTTACTCAAATATCATCTTCTCGTTAAGTCTATCCCTCATCATCATACTCAAACTACAGCCATTTACCACCACCATACATACATATTCCCAGATTTATTTTCCTCCATAGTACTTGTCAGCAGGTAACATATCTTTTTTTACCTTTATATATTGCTTATTGTATGCCCCTACACACACACACACACACATACACACACGTGCACGCTCACACACACACACACACACACACACACACACACACAGAGACATACATATAAACCCAAGAGGGCAAAGGTGTTTGCTTTACTTACTGCCTATCACTTATATCTAGAACACTGGCATATAGTAGGTATTCAATAGATATTTGTTGAATTAATGTTGAACAAAAAACCTTTATTTTCAAATTTGAAATAAAGTTTTGCTAAACAATCCATAAGTGTTATTTCAGAATGAACAATCTTTTTCATTTCTTCTTTTGCTGATGCATTTGTGACTTAACATGGTTGTATTCTTCTTTAGAGAAAGCACTCAAATGCATATTCCAGGATACCTTATTGGGAGTACTCTCATTATTTTAGCCCCACATTTAAATCATTTAGTTCTAGTTCATGTACAGATGAAACCAGACTTAGAAAGTACTTGTATTAGCTTTGTTTTTCACTGGAACAAAACTCATTAAATCAGACCCAACAATGCAGAATTCCTTTAGCTATCTATGGGAAAAGGGTAGGCTGAATACTTGCCAACCACACTCAAAATAACTGCTTTCAAATACAGTAAGAAAATTTTAAAAGATTTTTATTTCTTCATTATGGCAAATCATGAAACCCATAAAATTCTACTAGCTATAAGGTCAGGTTACTTTGTATACTTGAGCATTAAAAAAGTATCCCTTTTAGCCCATTATATAACACTGACTTTCGGTTCTACTGTTCAGAAAACACCTGTCCCCTGATGCAATTATTGCAAATCTGCTTGTCTTTGCAATGTTGATCTTATAATCTAGATTTTGTCAATAGTAGTTCCAATCCCCGTACATTTCCCCTTTACTGGTGAGTGAGTTCTTACCAGTTGTAGTTTTGGCTTTTACATTTGATGTTTTGAAACATGAAAAGACCATATTGCTAAAAGACTATGCAGAAGGTCTAAGACAGTGGTAGTCCACTGTGCATGTCCAGCCACATGCCCCCACTGAAGTCAGCATAGGGTAGAGTCAGGACATAGATTCTTTGAAAAAGCTCTTTAGGGGCTTCTGTTCTCTGCCTTACACCACCTCCAATGACAAACTCCAGGAAGTTATTAGAGGAAAGGTCTGTTATAGACACTAAATGCTTATGCTTAAAGCTATTATCCTGTTAATAATATCACCCATAAAATTTAAGTCAGGATCTGGCATTGTCATATATATTTAAAAAATGGGAATATTAATATAAAGCATGTAAGCGATTTTCTGTTTCACTAAATAAAGGCAAGACAACAACAAAGTAAAGGGGGGAAATGTGAGTTCCTAAGTCCCAGTCCAGTACAGGGGACCATTACGTTACACACATTCTAAGGTTCGATTTCCACTTTGGATTGGTTTAGTCCTCATTTGAAAATATATTTCCAGTAATAAGTTACAGATAAGAAAGACTAAATAGGCTAATCTGCACCTAACCAGGAAGTATACCTGCAAAAGAATGTACCTGCATAATGTCAGTTCATTTATTTGGGCAACATTTATAAACAGTCTGCTATGTAACTTAGAAGTAAAGGATATTAGGATTCTTATGAATCACCATTGAAAATCAGTCTGCAATCACAGTGGGGAAATGTAAGAGACAGAAAAAAAGGAGATGCAGAGGAGAAGTGATACTGCTCAATCACACAGTTTTAAGTGTTAGCAATGGAACTGGATCCCAGAAACATAAGAGTCATCATTCTTGACTCCTGTCTCCCACTTAGGTAAATGAGATATCAATGTACCACTCATGTTATTATTTGCACGAAACCCAATCTACCCCAACCCCTGGATAGTGCTCTCAAATCTTTAGACATTGTCCATCTTCACTCCTACTCTACCAAGTCTCGGCCTGGACCACTGCATCAGCTTTCTCACTGTCTTCCCAGTCAGACAGAATTTTTTTTAAAATGTACATCAGATCACAGGGCTTCCCATCACGAAACTCTCAAAAGGTTTCCCAATGCATTTGAAATGAAATCCAAACTCTTCATCCTCATACACAAAGGTATACCTCAATGCCTTTGTGTGCTAGCCCCTGCCTACCTATTCAAGTACACTTCATGCCTCTCTAGACATAATGCATGTCATGCAGCTATTCCCTTTTACATTTATATTTGCAATCCCCCCCACCCCCGCTCTTCCTTCCTGCCATTCTTCTTACTTCTTTGTCTTCAAATGAGCTGTTCTCTCTGCTTGAAATTCTCTTTGCCCTCCTCTTTGCCAGGCCAGGTCCTAAGTCACTTTTCTAATCCCAGCTGATCTCTCTCCTCAGGGAACAATCCCTGACCCTTCAAGACAGTGTTAGCTGCCCTCCTCTGAGCTTGCACAGTTTCCAGGACATCTGCTATTACACCACTGGTCACATAGTATTTGTCCCAATGGACTATTTGCTTATCTGTCTTCCCCACTACACTGTGAGCCCTGCAAGGACAGGGACAATCTTTGGCTTGGTCACATTTTTCCAACACCTAGAATCAAGTCTGACAGAGAGCCAGCACCCAATACACTTTCCTTGAAGGAATAAATGCTATGAATAGAACTATCCTGAAATTCCTGTGTGGCAAAATCTGCACATTTACTTTCACACAACTACTGAAGTCAAAGCTGAAAGTCAACATGAGTGTTATAGTGGAAGCCAGAAATGAGTTGTGTTCTGCCTGACTACCTCTTGACTGTCAAGAATGACATTATCTGTTAAATATCAGTGTTCTTTTTGACTTAATAAAAATTCATGGCCTACTAATAATAGCCATATAACTATGTACTTTCATATGAATAAAGTTGATTAAGCTGCTTTCTGGACTTGTTGTATCTTACTGCTAAATAATCCATATTCTGAATAGTTAAGAAGTTATCCCTCATTCTTGTTACTAATAAAAAAATCATGGCTGCAGACGCATATATGGATTTTTGATCATGGAGTCCACAATTGACAAAATCCTGAGGCCTCTAATCTTAGCAGCAAAAAAAAAAAAGTCTTCTACTTAAAATCTAATGAGTTTCATTCATTTATAATGATAGTATCCTGAAGTTTTGTTCACAATCAGCATTTCATCAAGTGCATTAAGTTCCCATTGAGCCTGCTTGTCTTTCATATATTTCTCCCTACCAGGGAACCTCCTTGTTAATGCACAGAAAAATTGCATTTTCAATATTTCTGCTAACAAACTGGAATCAATGAGACTGTCCACTGAAACAAGAGTGGTATAATTCGGCATATTTCAGGACTATCCATGTAACTAAGGTGACTCACTACTCTAGGAATAATGTACTTCCTTCTGTTGTCTAAGCCATGTTCTTGCTCATCTCCTAGCTTCCACATGTGCTGTTCCCACTTTCCAGGACACTCTTCTTCCTCCTCATCAACTGACAAATTCTTACTCATCCTTCACGTGTGAAGTTAATGATTGTACTTGCTACCGCCACCCAACTATGTCAGCTCCCTTTCCTATGAGTTTCCCTAGCTCTCTGTGTTTCCCAGTCAAGGCACCACTTCCTTTTTATTTCTCTCACTATCAGCTTTGTAAGAGTACAGAGACTCTTCCTCATCACTATTTCACCAGTGCCCGAGCCTGCCATAATGCTTGGTGCTCTTTGAATGAACAGAGTCCAGACACCTAGGCATGAGTCTCTCAAGTATTGTCTATCATCTGAAAATAAATATATTTGCAGGCTTTCTGCCCACCAATGGGAAACAACATAATAAAGATTAAGGGCCTTTATTACAAACCACAATCCACTTTGGGAGGTTTCTATTTCTGGAACATTATAAAGATGTTGGAGAGGTTCAGGAGAAGGTCGGGGGCATGAAAACAAAGCTTAAGAGCTAAAACTTGGAGGGGGAAATCTATGCCCTGATACAAAAACAGCACTCACAGCACTAGCTGCACAACTCAAAGCGACACACAAAGAGGTGGCAGGGAGGAAAGCAATTTCACAGTGGAAACATCAGAGGGACTTACTCAAATCAAAACTAAAGTCAAGGCTTGGATATTTCCTCTATTTGATGCCAAGTATTCAACAAATGTTTCTCCCTCTCCCCAAAAAGAGTTTAGGAAAAAAAAAAAAAACAACTGATTTCCACATATTTATAACTAATCTGTGCTCCTAAACATGAGGTGTTTCAAATATAAAAGAAGCAGATAAAAACAAATAAAAATGTTGAATTATTCCAAGACTAATTGTGAAGTTAAATTTTTCCAAATGACAGAATAAGTCAAATGTCTATTCCATCATTTATTGCATTTGCTTTATGAGCCAGGATTTGTCCTAAGCATTATTTAGAAATTAATAACTTGGTCCCTACACTCAACAAGTTTACAGTACAGTGGGGAATGTAAATAAATTGTAAAGGGCAAAAATGCAAGGATGAAGGATCATAGAGGCTATCAAAGAGGAAGTTCATTATTTCCACACACACAATCACTATAATAAAAGTAAACATAATAGACCCAAGAGGACCTAGAAAAGTCCTATTCACTCTACTAATGGTTCTCAAACTTGCAAGTCATTTGGACTGGAGCCTGAAAACTCCAGTACCCTAACAACTTGCATTCTTCCTTTATTTTATTCACCATGTTATTTTAATAATCTTAAAGATTGAGGAAACAAATTGAGTATTTTAAAACAATTTCTCCCATCAATTAAAAAAAAGATCTACACCCAAGTTCATTAACAGCATTATTCAAAAGAGTCAGAAAATGAAAGCAACCCAAGTGGTCTCCAATGGATAAGCCAAATGTGTTCTATACCTACAATGCAATATTATTCAGCCTGAAAAAGGAAATAAATTTCCACATACTATACTACAACATGGATGAGCCTCAAGGGTCATCTTTTCCTTATCAATTATCCAATTTCAGGTATCTCTTTATAGCAATGCTAAATGAAATGAGCCGGTTACAAAATGACAAATAACTATAGTTCCACTGATAGAAGGTATCTAAAGTAGTCAGATCCATAGAAACAAAGTAGAATGATGGTTTCCAGGGACTGGGGTAAGAGGGAAATGGGGAATTCTTTAATGTGTACATAGTTTCACTTTTGAGAGACAAAAACTTTCTGAAGACTGGCTGCACAACCAGTCTTCAGATTATATACTTCAGTTAAGTACTTAATGTAAGGTCGGATGCCTAGCCAGGAGCTCGGACACACCCACCCATCTCTGCACCCAAAACCTACGTCACATCTCTGCACCCGGAACCTACCTCAGGAGCACATGCTCTCCTGGAAGGATCCGGCTAATGTAACCCTAGCCGGATCTTGCATTAGGAAAATCCCGCCCAACAATCTACCTACCAGGACGTAGCCCTGTCTACGTCCCACTCCCCCATAACCAATCAGAGCACCCTGCTCCTCCTTGCTCGCTATAGCTATAAAAACCCTACACCTCAGGAAGTCAGCACGACTTCTCTGGCCCCCCTTTCCCGGACCATAGAACCTTGCCCGGGAGCTGAATAAATTGTAATTTAATTGTTCTTATACTGGCCTCAGTTTCCTCATTTTAAACTCGGCAATAACCCTTACACTTAACACTACTGTTCGGTACACATCAAAATAGTTAAGATGATAAATTGTATGTTATGTGCATGTTATCACAATTAAAAGTAAAAATAAAATTTTAAAGAAGGATCATGCTATAATGCTACATGGTATATTGTCCTGAAGGTCTACTCCAAGAAAACATGATTGGGTTGTACAAAGGCCCCAAATGTGAGAAAATGCAATGCTTCAGTTCTTGTAGTCATGAATGAGTTCATTGTGATGAGAAGGATAACTGTAGTTTTAAAAGCTGTTCTTGCTTTTGTGTAGAAAACAATACAAGCAAACTTATTTAGGTCACAGCAGTTACTGTAAACATCCCAAAGAAAGCTTATTAATAACAGCCACCCACAAAGGACCTGGTTTCAACCAAAGAATGTCATGGAGTAAGTGAAAGGAAGCCTTGAAAAGAATTGTCCTATACTTTAGAAATAAGAATGTTAGCATCTTTTTGTAGTTCAACTTGGATTTAGAAATCACAAATATGGCCAATATTTTAAATAAGGAAACTGAACTAGACAGTGTCTGAAGGACCTTCTGGCTCTAAACCATAATAGTTGGTTGCTTGCTTGATAAAGGAAAAAAAAAAGCACAGAAAAACATCCTAAACATTTATGTCAGTCCTTGATTCTGCTATCAGTAGAGTAACAGAGGCCACCTGCCTGAATCTGTTACTGTGTCAATGTGGAAATATACTGGTCTAGGCCCCTACCACTAACTTGTTCTATGACCTTGGGCAAGTCACTGACTCTCTGTGAGCCTAATTCTTCTACTCTGTAGTGGGCAGGTTGGACCAAATGATGATTAAGGTCCCTTCCAGCCATTATAGCCTATGATTAAAAACCCGTGGAGCATGGTGATTAAGGCTGCAGAACAATGTGAATATACTTAATACCATAGAACTGGATATCATAGAATTGTATTTAAAATAATTAAAATAAAAAATATAATAATTCAAGAAGCAAAACAGCCACTCTAAGCAACAGTTTCTAACTAGAATAGCAAGAAACAAATGCTTCAACAAGAGGCCTCTAGGCTTGAATTTTCTTTCTTTCTTTTTAATCGAGTAGTCCTTCATGCCCAAAGAAACATGCAAGTATACTAAAGATGATGCTATTAAAAGAAAAACCTTTCATAAAACAATAACTCTTTCAATCTCGGAACTACCTCCACATTCAGCATTTGAGTTCGACTTGTATATATGGTTTTTATAAATTTTGTCTCCCCTATATACAATATGGTCAAGAGAGATGCATTCTGGTCCAAATCTCACTCTCAGCAGAGCAACTACTCTCATTTGTTCCAGCCGTGTAAACTAAGCAACTCAACTCTAGCTCAAAGGCAGGGAAATAAGTTTATTATCTTCAACCAGGATTTTTAGATCCTGGGGAGATGCCTCTGCACTAAAAATCAATACAAGATTTTTCAAGGTATTCAGTTTTGTCACTTGTCTGGAGACAATGGCCTCAGAAAAGAAGATGAACTGCCTTACTTCCTTTTCCTCCCTTTTTCTGCATGCTGCCCTTTAAAGACATGCTCTTTGTGCCATAAATTCAAAGGTTGCTTTTATGTCCAGTGGGGTGGAGGGAGGAAGCTGGGTGTGTTTTAAACAGTGAAATCTGTCAAAGTCCCAAAGGCTCTTGTGATACAAATCAGGTCATCCTATATAGCCTGAACCCCCAATTCCACAGAGGAAATAAAAACCATTTATAACTCAAAGTAACTAGCAGTAATAGGTCAATGCACTTGATTGGTCATGAACCAATTACAGAGACACTGCTTGGTGCCTCAAGGATGTGACAGGGTTGGGATGCACCTAGGCCAAGCCCAACACTCACACTCCTGCTCCCACCTCCCATAAACACCTGCCACCAGATACAGGGAGAAAAATTATGTCCAAGGAAAAGGGCAATACCTTGTCCACCCTGCATCATCCTGTTCTAGACTAACAGAGAAATATCTTGGAGGCCCCACTCCCACCCCCTTATCTCACCAGTTTAAGATCCACTGAGGTTCAAGCTATCATAAGAGTCAAAGTATTTGGACGTCGACCTCTGCTATTCTAACAGCTCTGCTAGGATTGCCATTTCTGAATGGCAAGCCCAAAGCTGTCTCCCAGTCCGGCCCTCTCTGCAAGAGCCCAGGCTTTGAAATTCTCCTTCTTCCCTACTTTCTTCTAAAGAGAAACAATTGAGGCAAGACTGGCAATAAGATAGAAAAAAGTAGCAAAAAGGGAGAGAGGAGGCTTCCAAGAAGAACACTTATATGTGGAAGATGAATAGGGCCGGGAAGGTCTTTAAGATTACTTAATTCAACCCATGAGGACACAGAGAACTCAAAACATACAGTTGACAACAATGCGCATCCTAGACTTCAGGGCTCCACCTCATGTAACATTTTTGGAGTTGTTGATGCCTTTGAGAATCTGTTCAAAGCTATGGAACCTGCTCACCAGAAAAAAAAATGGACATTTATACATTAATTTCTCAGAATCCTAGGATTGTCTCCAGGACAACGTTTCCCCAACTAGCCTGATGATAAGGATCACCAGGACACCGGCTTACAAGTCAGATTACAAGCTCTTTTCCTAAAGTTCTAATTCAGCAGGTCAGAGGGAGGGTTCTTTTGTTTTGTTTTGTTTTGTTTAGAAAAAACAAACAAACCCTACTGGTGATTCTTTAGGCAAGCTTGAGAAACATTACCTAGAGGCAGTAGGTTCCTAAAACAGCTGTGCATTAGAACCCCTTGAGGAGTTTAATTTTAAAATGTGGCTTTCTAACGCTCACTCCCAGATATACTGAATCAAATTCTCCTGGTGGGATGTATATGTGGTAAGAGGTGATGCTGATGGCCAAGTTGGTCCAGGAACCACAGCTTCAGTGGTTCTTGAACCACAGATAAGCAACCCATGTATGACTCTATCCAGCTTGACTCATTAGTAATTTGGCCTGGCCAGAGACTGATGGCTGTGATGGGCAACAGATCACTCATTGCTTGACATACCACCAACATGGAACAGAGTGCCTCATGCACTGAAAGTCTATTTCCCTGAAGTAAGCTTGCAAAATATGCTCATATTATCCATGAAGGCAGGGATAGTTATCTGTTCTTCTCACTGCTGTATTCTCAGTGTCTAAGGCAGCAGACGGCACACAGAAGGTTCAATACATATTTATCGAGTAAATTAATGGATGAATTAATTGACACATGAATTCAAATAACTGAAATCACTTAAGTTAGGTTATGACTGTCCAATGTATGTGTGAATCTATAGATTTGTTTCTATCACCAAGAAACCCTCTAGTAAGAGTCCTTTAACTTGAAAAATCAATATGAAAATCACTACTATTTCAGTAATATTGTCAGTATCATCACTGACCAAATTCTATGTAGATGGCCAATTGTGAAGTAGCAATTGTATCCTAAATTCAATTAGGAAAATTAAATTCAGCAGGATTATTGCTATAAGTCTAAGTGCTTTTAGTATAGAGTTTCAAAAGTAAAGGAACATTTACAGAAACCTAGGGCGGATGACAAGCATTGTCATTAAGTAATACATTTAGTGATCACTTGTTCTGTGAAAAGGATCCTTGAAGACGTTCCAGTCTATTTAGAGAGATAAGACATAAGCAGATGAGAAGTTAACTATGAGATATACCTAAAGTAGTTCATGGAGATTGCCAGAGGGGTCACATAGAAGCCCTGTCCAGGAAGTAAGCAGTGCCTGCTGGGAGGGTGGAAGAAAGGCTTCATGGAGGATGGAGATTTAGCTTGGACTTGAAGCATCGTAGAATATAAAAATAATAAGTGGTTCACTCCAACTCAAGGAATGGTTAGAGCAGAAAACTTAGTTTGAAGACAATCAATAAGTAATATTTCATTAATATTTTTATTATTATATCATTAATAGAATTATGTATTTCCAGTATAGATAAAATAGAAAAATATGACTAAACACTATAAATTTCTATAAGTCGACCATCCAAAGATTCCTTTTGGTGTATGTTCTTTCAAGATTTATTCTAAGCATATTTGTTGTGCATATATTTACATATGTGCATAGTTGTCTATGTATATTTAATTTGGTATTTTCAGATATATACATACATATGCATAGCCCCATATGTGTACATATTCATATATGTACTTTTATAAAATAGTAGTCATGCTTATGGAGTCCAGTGAGAAGGATCTCAAGGAAGTGCAGGAAAATCATTCACACCCCAGGCAGAAATCACCGTCTCTCCTTGGTTACCCCTAAGTGGACACCTAGTATACACACTAAAAATGATGGTGCAGATTATTTAATGACATAAAAGAACATTCTAACATGTTCAGGGAAAAAAGGAAGTTATCGTATATTCTGCCTGATTCCACATACACACTTAAAGATAATTAGCCATGTCTATGTATTATAATATCCAGAGAAAAAGGACTAGAAGGAAAGCCTCAAAGTTAACTTGGTAGTGGAACCTTGGCGATATTTTGTTCTCTATGCTTTCATGATGTTCCAAATCGTCTCCAGCAAATATGCATTATTTTGCAATCTGAAAAATATCAATGCAATAAAACATAAGCAATATAAAACACACAAATAAATTCAAAACTGCCTGCTCAAGATGCACCGTCGGTTTTTGAGCAGCTAAAGTCAAATTAGCATTA